GAGAACGTTCGAGTCAGAGGTCGACTCATCAAGGATATTTCCTTGACACTCTCCCGCCCGGCGATCCGCGTCGAGTTCGAGGCGGACCAGAGACTGTACGGCTCGCTTGAGAATCCGTCGGGGGCGAGGTCGGGATTTCTTTCCACGTCGTTTCAGGTCGAGGGCTTTGGGGTCTGGTAGGAGCAGTGACACCTGACGAACGACTCCATCCGGTCCACGGTCTACCGCTTCAATGCGGGCCAATTTCCAGATCTCATCGTTGTCGTCGACCATCAGCACCAGGTCACCGGGATTGATGTCCGTCTTCTTGACCTGCTTGTAGTGGAGTCCCAATTGTTGTAGGTACTCGCTGCGCCAGTAGCGGATGAACCGTTGTCGCCACTTTTTCACCTGGTTGAGCGCTCGGAAGGAGTTCAGCACTCCAGGTCCTTGGGGCACACTTTTGTAGCTCCGTCCAATGAGGTAATGTCCAGGAGTAATTACAGGGTCTCGCTCGCTGTCACTAGAGAAGAGTGGACGCGAGTTCACAACGGCCATTAGCTCTGCGAGCAGGTAGCGCAGTTGGGTGTCAGTTTTGGGTCCAGCGACCTTCCGTAGGCCGTTTTTCACTACGCCGACCATTCGTTCAAACAGTCCGCCCCACCAGCTAGCTCTGGGCGGGTTAAAGTACCAAGTGATGCCAAACTCGTAGATTTGATCTTTCGCTTTTTGAGTGGCCTTGCGCAGCTTCTTTAAGTCCTGTTCCGCAGCGGTGAAGTTAGTGCCGTTATCACTGAAGACGACACGAGGGTAACCGCGATAGTTGAACACGCAGTTCAATGCAGCCAAGCACGAGGCCGATGATAGGTCCGACACCACCTCCAGGTGAATTGCGCGTGACACCGAACAGGTGACCAGGAGCACCCATCGCTTCGTTCCGTCGTTGATCTGCATTGGGCCCAAATAGTCGATGCCGACACACTCGAAAGGTAAGAACTCTCGAGTTCGAAAGGCCGGTAGGTCTCCGACTGGTTGCACGACATGTCGGCGGCGGGCTTTCTGGCACGGGACACAGTACTTCAGGACTCGGTCGATGATCTGGTTCACCCGTGGAATGTAGTATCGCTCGTTGATCAGCGCTTTGGTGAACCGGCGTCGCATGTGATGTCCGGTCTGGGCGTGCGCATGGCGAACGACCATTTCAGCGATGCGTGAGCTCTTTGGCAACCAGATAGGGCGGTAATCAGCGACTCGGGTGCGAATTCGGATGATGCCCTGATTGTCCGTTTCTGTGGGTAACTTAACTTGCGGCAGCTCCCCCAGGCACTGTTGTTGAATGCTCCGGTACACGTACGACAAGGCGTCTTGCACGGAGGGCGGTTCTGGACGCTTCTCTAAGGCGTAGCGAAACTGCAACACTCGTCTGGCCACTCGAACCAGTTTTGACCATTCTCCAATGCGCTCAAAACCATCGAGGTCGACCAAGGACTGGGCGGTCGACCGAACAGGGCACGAAAGGAATAACTTAGGGAGTTGCATGGTTTCGGTCCGCTCCACTAGTTCGTCCAGCTCCACCCGAAAGTCTGATGGTGCTTCTTTGAGGAGTTGGCGCACAGTCTTAGGACGCGAGTAAACATCTGCCGGGTTGATCTTTGTGGGCACGTAGCGAAAGTTGCTCGGGTAGCTCTCGCAAACTCGGTGAATGCGGACCAAACGATTGGCGACGTAGCTCCCATGACGATTCAGATTACTGTCGAGTCGGTGCAGAGTGATCGATGAGTCTGACCAGAAGAAGAGGGGCACACCGGTTAAATCAAACAGCCGGCACAGAGATGGTAGCTGCTCGACGGCTTCAGTGAGCGCGGCTAATTCTAGCTCGGGCATCGTTCGAGGTTTCAGTGGCGCCAATCTGCTCTTTCCGTAGACGAAGTAGTTTTGCTGGTGGGAGTCGGTGAAGTAGATCACGTAGCCGAGGCCATCCTCTGATGCATCCGAGAAGAAGGATACTGCTGTCGGAGGGGGTACATGGCGCGGTACTTGGATTTGCGCTAGGTCACTGAACCGTTTGAGAAACGCGCGGAATTCGCTAGCCAAGACCTCCGGCACAGT